ACAATAAAGAGAACGCGAAACACGCTCATATATAGTATACGGCTAACAGCCCGAACTGCTGTGTTGATTCACGACGAAGAAACGTCATATTTATCCAACTATGTCTAGTGGCTGAGTCTAGAAGAGACGAGGTATCTTTCCAGCATGTCACCTTCAACGCGCCGACACACCAGGACGTGGTTTTTGCTTTCGATGTCGAGGGAATCGGGACGTGTCTTGATGGACGATGACATCGTCTACGATCCAGTGGCTCCTTGACCACTTGTTAGTGTCATGCCCTAGTTGCCGACAACCCGTGTCCGAATCCTCGTCACAATCAACTTGGTGGGGCACCTACGCCGCTTCATAGGTTCATTTCTATGGCCTACTAGTAGCTTTCAAGCTTGGCGCATCGCCGTGTATATCCACACGTTGTAGAGACTTGTAGAGGCTCGTAAGGCTGTTCAGGGACGGACAATTCTTACCAAAAAAAATCCAGCCGACATAATAGAGGACAAGGTTTGCGGTTAGCGACCGCAAAAGCCCATGTAGTGACGTCGCGAGAGCTGGATGAGATGGGTTGACGTTGTATCGAGCGGATCTGCGACCTCGCGCTCGATCTCGGACGACGGGATGGCCTCGGAAGTCGCGCTGAACTCGAGGGTCGGACGCGCCACTGTCGTCCATTTGTCCTCCGAGTCGGTGACCGACGATGCCGAGAAACGAACGCTTTGCATCGAGCGCCACGTTGAGAAGACGTCCGAGCTGCCGCGTGAGCTGTTTGTGCAGGACGGCGCGAGTGGTTGCTTCCCGCGCTGGCTCGCTACCAAAACGCTGTTTCAAATTCTGTGTGGCAAAACAGTGTACTACCAAACTTGCGCCGCGTGTTGCCGCAAAAGCACGAGGTGCAGAGGTCCATGCTGTGGTTGTTGAGAGTAGGCAGCTGATATGTCGTGATGCACGCGCTACAGACCACCTACAGGACGATAGTACGTATCGAAACAGTGGATTGCAGCCGACGCACCTGGCGGCAGAGGTAGCAGTGGTTCTTAGAAGCGAAGAGCTTAAACTTTGTGTCACAGGCTTCGCAGTATGTAATCGGTCGTGCATCCTTGAACCGCGGCAGTGGCTGCGCAGCGGCGATCCGCGACGGCAGCCGCTGGAGCGCCAGGTGATGGTCCAGATTGAGCATCTAGACAGTGTTTGATACAGTGGTTTGAAACAGTATATGAGCTACCTGGCCGACGATGCGCTGGTAAATCTTGAGGTTGACAAACCGAGGAACGTTGCCCGGGTCGGCGACGATGCATGTGTAAAAGTAATCGTACACCCCAACGTCGTCCGTCTCCAAGAAAACATGTCCCGACTACTCCAATACATCCATACAGAATATGGAGCCACTGTCTCAAACAGGAAAGGAACGTACCCGCACCAAAGCACTTCGTACAAGGTTGTGCGATGCCCGGAGCGACGGACAGCAGTCGAGCGCGACCGAGTGAAGTGCGCGTACAATGCCTTTTCGTTGCATGCCACTGATGGGGTCCTCGACTTCGATCGAACTCAGCACCTAAGACAGTGTTTGAACACGGATTTCAAACATGTGTCTACCTCGAGGAAACACGTGTCCCGCTTGAGCGTCAGCGCCTTTGAGATGAACGGACACGCGATCGCACTCCATTGAACGCTGGCGTAGTAGAACGGACTCGCAATGTCGCGAGTTTGGTCGGCCAACGTATACAGCGTCGCCCGGTCCAAAACCATTTGGCCCACGACGCTGGCGAACGTCTGGACTTTCTCGCGCGTCGCCAAGTGAAAAAACGACAAGATCTCGTCTTGTGTGGCCTGGATCTGCGACGAGCCGGTGACGCCGTACAGTGACGCGTCGACGATATCGTTGCCGTGGTGCAGCTATTGGTCGCCTGCTTGAAAAAATCCATTGCAAAAGCACTCGACATGTACCAGCGCACGGCGCTTCGTCGCCGGGTGCTCGACGATCTTGGTCGGTGGCGTCTTGGCCATGCTGAGAGCGTTCCGCGCCGTGTCGGTGCAAATGCGGTGCCCTTGGCCCACGAGGTAGTCGTGTTCGACCGTCGAGAGCGGCGGGCAAGTAAAGTAGCCCGGTGGTAATGGGAACGACATGGCGAAATGCAAAATGACCGTCGACGTCGCCATGCACACCCTTCTCGAGCTGGCCATATTGCGCATAGCGCACTTGCAGTGCGCGCACTTGAACGCGTCAAGACAATGCAACGGTGCGTTTCTACGCGCGCGCCTCAAGTTGTCGTCCTGGCCGCACGCCCAACCCTGATCAGCCACTGTTGTCGGCAGCTGGGGATTCCTAACGAGCTACTACGTAGTACTCCATTGCGAGCGAGCAGTAGTACCCACGGTGATCCGCCTGGCCGCGTACTACCGTAGAAACTCCCGTGCATCCCATGCGTGCAATATATATCATTGGGTGAGATTTTTGTTTCGAGGAGCACCATCGCATGACCGACATATATAAACTGCGCAAGTACAGAGATGGATACGCCCACAGTACCTGATGCAGGAAGGGGTCTTCCGATCTCACACCACTGACCAAAACAGTGTAATGGCAGGGCCACCGAACAATATTAGCGCA